GTGCAGCCCGGGTGGCGGGGCTGCATTGGGGGGCGCGGCAGCCGGTGGCTCCTGCGCGCACACTGGCGAGTGGAGAGGGGCCCGAGCGCGGTACCGGCGACGCCCCCTCGGCCCAAGTGCTGAAGCTGGAGCCGCCGTCGCGATCTGAAGTGTGGGGCCCGATCTGCATCCCGCGCGCACCTGCTCGCCCGCGCGTCGCCAGCCCTTTCTTGCGCATCACAGTGTTGTCTGTTGCAGAGCATCGGGCTGCCTCCTCGCCTTACTAACTTTACGGGCTTGCTTCCTTGCAGCGATTCCTCCCATGGGTCATGCTTGGCGCTGCAGGTGCCAGGGGTGCCACCTGTCTTGATTTAAGGACATCTTTCACATGTCTCTTTTAGACGAAAGCCTTAATCTTTGAAAGGGTGACTTCTGATCGCCTTTTGTTCTTCTTCAGAAGGTTCATTCCGGAGGACACCTCGTTTCACCTCATCTCTGGTTTTTCCAAGTTCCCTTGCGAGTTCTCAGGAGCCCCTGCTTTGCTGGGGACGCCCCTTGTGAATGAAAATCTTCTGGTTCCTTGTGGTCTGTTAACAGGACTGGTGTCACCGTGTGAGCTGGTTTTAAGTCTCCAGGTTTTCGCAGTCAGGGAGCCTTGGTTTGCTAGAGGATAAACAACGTTGTTGGAGCAGAGGCAGAAATGTCGATTTTGGAGGGAGGTGTTTGTGTGGAAAGCACTTAGAGGGTTCTTACTGTGCACCGGCACTGTGTGCTGATTGCTCTAAGGTTGCCAAGCCTCAGCTCATTCTTTGAGGCATTTACTACCTTCTTTATGTGAAAGAAGGGAAACTGAGGCACCGCAAATGTGGCACCCTGACTGTGGGGCCCCAGGGCCCCCACCAGCTACAGTGCTGCACTGCGTACACCTGGCCGGGCAGGGGGTTCAGCTGTCTCCAGGGCCTCCTGCGCCCTGCTCTCTCGGACCACCCCCAGTTCCCACTTCAGTTATTTGTGTCTCACCTTCCTCTCCCTCCAACTTCTCAAGCAAGAGTGTGCTGGCATGATCACCCCCAATGCTGTGATCTCTGACCCCCAGAATGGGCTTGAGGTCTGGATGGCAGCTGGCTTGACCAGGTCGGTCGGCTTTCCTCTGCCTGGGCGTTCTGGCAGGAAGGCTGTCTGTGCCTGCTGGGCTGTGACAGCGAGTGGTGTGCCCATGGGCCTGTGCTGAGGGCAGCAGGAGGTGTCTGCCTTGTCCTCAGAGTATGTCCGTGGACACTATATGCCAGGCAAACTCCTACTTTACCTTCAAGGCCCCCTCAGATGTCCCCTTCCTCCTAGGCAGGCAGCCCTTGTACTCTAACGTGGGGTGGGCTCCCCAGCCAGGCACCATTCCTGGGCACACCCAGTACTTGGTAGGTACTGAAAGTCGTTGATGGTGGTTTTATTTTTTTCCCCCTCAGGGGACTGTTTTGAGGTAGGCCAGGATGTGTGGGTGTTTTTTGTCCAGACAAGGAGTAGATGAAGGGAGGTCTAGAAGTTTGGGGAGTTTGGGGTGGTCCTGTGCAGGAACCTCACAGAGCAGGCATGGACAAGGTTGAGTTGGAAAGCAGGAGGCAGGTTGCTCCATGGTGCCAGCTCTGTGCAGAGGTTGTGGTGCAGGAGACGCTGCCAGGAGGCACTTGGGTGAGAAGCAGCGTCTCTTAGGGGCTGCTTTGGCTCAGAGGTGCAGGCAGGCATTGCCCCCAAACACAGTGTCCCTTGTGCCTCACTGACGGCCGAGCCCCGTTCTCTTGCCGCCTCTGCATCTTGGCCCCAGTGCACCTCTGTCCATCGCTGTACTCAGGGAGGACTGCGTGGCTGGGCGTGGACATGGAGAGCGATCTCTGGGCCCCAAGCTTGCCCTGCTGTGCACACAGCTGGTGCTCAGTAAATGCAGGGGTTACTGTTAGTACAGGCTCATTGGCGGCTGGACTCCAGTATGGGGATGAGGGCTCCTCCCAGCACCATGTGTGGGGGCTTGGACAGCACTGGTGGACAAGGTGCAGACATGGGGGTGCTTGTCAGTGAGGGGGCACAGGGGCCATCGAGGTCGGACACCCTGGGCTCCACACTGGGGATAAGAGCTGAGATTTCCCCTGCCTTGATTTTCTTGTTCTTAAGACCAGAGAGGGTGGTGCTCTGCCCATGATGGAGGTCCAGTGCAGCCTAGCCCTCTGCCCAGGGGCAGGCGGTGGGGACACAGAGCTCATGCTGTCCAGGTAAGGGTGGGTGCCTGGGCAGGAGGTAGGTGTCCAGGTAAGGGATGGGAGTTTGGCCAGGGGGTGGATACCCAGGCAGGGTTTGTATGTCCAGGTAAGGGGTGGTGCTGTCCAGGTAACGGGCATGTGTCTGGGTAGGAAGCAGTTTCCAGGTCGGGGGAGGGTGTCCAGGTAAGGAGGGTGTCCAGGTAAGGCGGGATGTGTCCCAGCAGAGTGCGGGCATCTGAGTGTTCAGGAAGGACTGTCTAACTCATCTGCCTGGTCCGGGAGGTAGGCTGCCTTTGTGTGTTGTAGACTGAAGGGAAAGTGTGCTGTTACCTCTAAACTGTACCTGGGGTCCCCTTTGGGAAGCGGATGTTTTTGTTATGCTAATGAGGCCGTTAGTGTGGGTTGTATTTTGAGGTGTAAAAGAGGAAAAACAGCAAGTAGCACGAGAGAGGCAGAGATGCTGGGGCTTGGGGAGATCTCTGGAGTCCGGATACAAGCTGAAGATGCCAGGGCTGTGCCCCAGAGCCCTGGCCCTGAACTTGGACTTCTGGTCTCGGCTCCCACACGGAGAGAGTAAACGCATTTGTTAAAGCCGTTTGTTTGTGACGTCTCTGTTCAGGCAGTACCAGCTAGCGTTGTCGTGGAAAGCGCTTTCTCTCATGGTGTCTTTACCACTAGACACCACAGGGCGTGCGGTTCGAGTCCACCAGCCACTGTGCGGGAGAAGGATGGACAGTCCTGTGCAGTTTACTGCCAGGAAACCTGCCGGAGGGTCGGCTGTGAATCAGTCCTGATTCGATAGCGTGTTTCTCACCTGTGAGCAGAGCCGTCTACGAGAGAAACACATAGCCATCTTCACCCCTTGAGTGGGGAGGGGCCCTCGGGGCTGCAGATGCCCAGCCCGGGTGCTGGGTGGCCCCCCGAGCACCACCCGGAGCTCAGTCGGTGTGCTGTGTGCTGGCAGTCCAGGGCAGCAGGCCTAGAACCTTCTCCCCCGCTGGGCCATACCTCCCAGCAGACACAGGGTCAAGGCCTCAGGGCCCTGCAGCAAGCGGGCACACGTAGTGCTTGGAGCTCATGTGGGACGTGGACGGTCAGCCAGGCTACCCTGGCTGTGCCCTGATCGCTCGCTCTGCTGTGGGAACATGGTGGGGTCAGCCAGGTAGCTTGGCCAGAGTACCAAGTGACAGTAGGGACTGAGGAGTGAGGACGGGGTCCCAGAACTGGTGCCTTGCGGGCAGTTTGCCTGGGAGATGTGAGCTCAGCCTTTTCCCGCCTCGGTTTCCCTGTTCTCAAGTGGAGACCTCGAAGAGGTGACCGAACCAGAAATCAGCCCTTTGGATGGACATTTGATGCTGGGGACAGAGGCGGTCTGAGGGGGAGAGCATGCCTTTGACTGCAGGAGGCCAGCAGACACAGGGCTGGGGGACAAGACCATTGGCACCCAGGACTTGGTGGACATGGGGCTGGTGCACAGGGCATTTCCAAGCGCACAGCGGAGGTCAGTGCCCATTGGGCTCCTGCCGTCTTTAGATTGGGGTGCAATCTTGTACAATAAATAGGTGGGTCCCCAGATGGGAGTAAATGCCTCAGGCATTTGCAATGGGTCAAAGGGCTCTGTGTGTCCTGCTGGGAGCTGTGATCCTGTCCGCCGACCACAGGGGGGCCCATCAGTGGTGCTGCCCGTGGTATGGGCAGGGGTGGTCAGCAAGGTCTCCTGGGAAGCCAGGGTGGGAAGAGGTGGCACAGGTGTGAGTGCGCCCTGGCACACCTGTTTAGACCTGGCCTCGGGCTAGCTTGGTTTGTCTTACAGGCGTGCCCCTCTTGTGAAGGGCAGATGGGTGCCCTGTGGGCAGCTGCAGGGGACAGGACTGCTCAGGAGAGAGTAGCCTGGTACCCTGCGTTGTCCACAGTAGGCAGTCCCGATGGTGAAGAGGGCCGGAGCCATGGCATTCAGCAGGGAGGGAGCTTCCATTTGTGTTGGGGGGCTGGGGGGGGTGGAGCCCACACACAGCAAGCTGGAAGGCTCTTCTAGAAGGCTGGTTCCCTGGTCGCTTAGGGTGGGCAGGCAGGAGGCTACTTCATGTTTGGGACTACTCTGTGGGACACCTGAGGCTTTCGGGAGGACTTAGAGCCCCTGCCGGGATGGCCTGAGCCCCCTGGCTGCAACTCGATGGTTAGGGGAGCAGCTTTGTTTCAGGGAGCATGGAATGGCTTCTGTGTGTGGGGAGCTCCGAGCTGCCACCTGCGTGTGCCCTCCTGCTCAGGGATCCCTTGGCCCTGCATGTGCATCAGGCAGATCGGAGCTCTGAGACCCTTCTGGTCTGGGTGCTGGGTGGGCAGCTGCGTGCATAGGGAGACCCAGTGGTCAGGGCGCCGAGTAGAGGCTGTGAGGAGGTTGTCCTGGGGTCGGGGTTAGGCCATGCCCAGGGGGGAGGCCCATTCCCTGCAGAGACCCCAGGTCCTGGTGAGTGTCCTCTCTGTATCCTCTTTACTCACCTGTGTCCCCCAGGATGACCCAGTTCTGCTCTCCTGCGACCTCTGCACTCACCCCTGCTCTCCTGCATCCTCTGCACTCACCCCTGCTCTCCTGCG